TGGGTGGCAGAGAGTGACATCAAAAGCAAGGCAGGCTCGGAGCCCGGGCGGCCCTGTCCTGCATGAATTACTCTTAGCATCCTAGTAAGACAGGTTTAGGGTGCAAGCATATGGGGTTCCTGCCCATGACATATAAGGTTCCAAAAACTGAGATGTCCGAGAAGCCTCTGCCCTGCCAGACAGCCAGACCAAGAATGGGGCACTTTGACCACTGCTTGATTACCTGCCACCCACTGGACAGGCCTGTGCATTTGTCTAGCTCACTCCCCAGTGGTGAGCAGAGTGAAGGTGATGGGGAGGCCATAGGAGTTCATGGATCCGCCTCCCTTCCTTGCCTGCCTGGAGAAAGTTCCTCTTTTGGACTTCCATGTGATCATCCAAGATTGGTTTTGCATTGCTGGAAAGCAATCAGGATGGCTCTTTCCATAAGAGCTGTGGGGGAGGGGAGAGATTGGATGCCTCCACCTATTCCCCTAAGGTTGAAAGGGGGAAGGTTGCAGGGGAGGTCTGTGGCTTTGGAAAAGAGGGGATCCAAAATATTCTGTGGTCCCCCAGTGAGTTCATTTGAGGTTTCGTTTGCAAAAGCAGCCAAGTGGTCCTGAACTTCTTTCTGCTTGATTCTTTAGTAGCTTTGCATATAGCCTGAAGTGCCTGATCCTGCCTCCTCTTGGAAGCTAAGCAGAGTTGGGCCTGATTGAAATCTGGATGGGTGACTTAATGTTGTGAACTCCCCACAGACCTTCTGCTATGGATGGTATAGAAATGTAATGTAGTAATATCATAATGTACATTGAATTGAAAACTAGTGTTGATTTGATTCTCTTGCCACGCCTGAAAGTTGACTTATCCATAGACTGAACTGCTTGGCAAACTTGCTTGTTACGAAATTTGAAAGAGGCTCTGAAACAGGGGTGCTCTTCTCCACTTATAAGAGCCGTAAGCCTAGATTCCCATGAAACCAGAGTATGAGTTATTCAATGGTAATTTTCCATAAGAATTAATCATACACAGGTGGTAGCAGCACTCCGTCCGAGGAATGTGAGCCAAAAGATGGCTTGCATCCTGGCCTATCTTGCAGGGCTGGAAGTGCAGCTACATCAGTAGACTGCAGTGTGACTTTCGGGGTGTATCCGATTTCGTGTAAGGAGTGGAATGGAGAGGAGAAACCAAGGGAGGATTGCTGGAGCATGGAGCTTTCCCACAGTCCGTTCTTGCAAGCAAATTGTGCTGCGGGTTGAAAGTTGCTTAATGGCTGCCTGTTGGCCATTCTTAAGTTCAATGCACAAGGCAGAAATCCAGAAAATGTCTCACTTGTATTCCACAGAGAGAGGGGGAGAGAGAGGGAGAGAGAGAGAGAGATCTTGGGGATTTTTCTTTCCACACTCACTGAAAAGGACTTGCCTGTGAGGGAGGCATCTTTTCCAGGCCTTTTACCCCAGCCTCTGTAACGCTATGAGCTCACTGTCTCCCCTCCTCACTGTTCCTCCCTCTTTAGGAAAGCCGATATGCCCAAAGAGGCAGGAGAGCTTGCCAGAGGTGAAGGGAGAAGATTTAGCAAGCTGTTGGCTGTTGTTCAGGATTCATGCTGATGGCGCCCTTGGCCAGCTGCCTCCATCTTGCACAGCTTTTCTGGTGTGTTTATCAGCCGGGTCCTACAAGAAAGGTGGACCAGGGAACAAATAGGCTGAAAGCTCTTGGCCAGCTTGGTTTGCCAAGAAAATGAAGGAGCAGCTGGAAACAACATTTATCTTATCAGCACGTCATTCTGAAATGGAAGGGCCATTAAAATAAATGATTCGAGTGTGAAGGCCTACATAATTTTCATTATTAATTGGCACCAAAGAAGGGGTGGAGAGACATAAATCTCTGTTTTTTGCACAGAGTTTTCGCTGCAGCCTTGATGCAAGCCAGTCAGCCATTCTTCTCCATCATGAAAACAACAACAAAAGCAATTAGACAAACCAAACCAGGCCAAGATTTCTGTTGCCAATTTGGGGATGAAGAGCATGGGAGGAAGAGTGTGGGAGGAAGGGGGAACTAACTAGCTCTGCCTTAGAATTGCCAATAAGGATTTAGGCGTTATGGTTGTTAATCAACTGGGCTTGTGCCAGCAACATAGAATTTGGGTACAAAGCAGCGCTCTCCATTGCCCCAGCACTGTCCAAAGAACCACTCTGCTTGGCTCAGTGACCTCCTCAGTGAAGCTTTCCCCTATCCTGCCACCTTCCGGCTGTGTTAAGACTACAACTCCCAGAACCCACAGCTGCTGGCTGGGGGATGCAGGGAGATGAAGCCCAACACCTCTGGAAAACACCATGTTGGGGAAGGTTGTGCTAGAGTGGTGAGCATGGTGGTCGTTAAATCCCTGCTCGGCTGAGAAGCTTAGTGTGTCACGGGAGACTGGTTTACACAAGCATGGACGTCACTTCATTTCTAAGCTTGAGCGAGTTATAGGGGAACATGTGAATTGATGGTGCTGAACTGACTCAGGCATTCCACTTGTGCGATGTCCAAGTGGTGAAGCTCATTTGTTTATCCCAGTCACCCTTTGATGGTGTTGCACCAAGGAGCACCCACCGAGTCTCTTGCTCTAGCTTGACACTTCACAGGTAGCTGGAAGATTCCTGGAGGAAAGAAAGGGGGCAAAATTCATCTGGCAATGGCTTCCACATTTCAAGGATTGATAGGTTTGGGGCAGAGACTAGTAGGGACCTGAGTGAGAATCCTGATGTTAGAAGCATCACTGCTGTAATCTAACATGGGACAGAGACCACCAACTGCTGAAAGTGCATTAAAATATGAGTAAGGGGCTAATTTGATGTGATACCAGGAGGTCTGTTATTGAATCTCCTGGGGGGGGGGGTTCCCTTTAAAAAAGGACAATATCTGTTAGGACCATGGCAACTGGGGAAGGAAAGCTAACCCTTTCCCTGGTGCCCTTTCCCCAATTAAATGCAAGTGTTATTTGCCCTATGGGGAGAAATACACCAGTATTTTTCCTTCCACATGGCAAATTCTAGCTTCAGGAGGCAATTTTAATTGGAAAAATGGCCCAAGGGAAAGTGTTAACCCTCCCCAGTTTCCCTAGTGAAGCAATCCAATCCTACGTCTTGCAATATTACATCCAGTTGCAACAGAAGTTCAGCTAGAGAAGCCAACTTGGAGATGCAGCAGTAATTAAAACTGCTGAACTTGTTTTCCTGTGGAGAAGCTTTTAAAGCTCAGACTGGCACAGTGAATAAACCAGAGGGCACTCCAGCTTCAGCTTTTAGGGTACCCTGGGCAGCTGGACTTTGATGTACCTTCTCGGTATTGACTAGCGCATCCATCCTCCCCCTTCCTCATGAGAAGGTAGCTCCGACAGGGCCCCCCTTACAGTGTCACTCCCACCAGTTAAGCCTATTCACACAGAATTACCATAGGGTGAGGGGTGGAAAGGGGGTGCTGCCAGTGCTGGGGACCCAAGCGGCCTCAGGTGCTAGGGCAGAGCCAGCTATGGTGTCCACAGGACCCCTGGCAAATGCCCCTGTATACTAGGTGCCGACTCTTGCACACTTGCCCTTCACATGTAATACTCAACACAGACATTTAGAATGTCTTCTTTCTGCTTTTGGTGGAAATAGAGCTCACATTTTATTATTATCAATCATGTTTGTGTCTATCACCCTTCATACAGAGGCTTATTAGGGCAGCTATGACCCATTATGACTGAGCCTATAGTTCATTAATCATGGGTTATTTGGGCCCACAAAGGAATGTGCTTCCAACTTCTGGTGTGTTAAACCACCCAAGGGTTGTTCTCCATGGTATGTGAACCTGGAATTCTGGGTTGCTGGAAGGAGAAATAGGCTAGAGAGGGTTATAAGTCCATGTGTCTTAGATTACAGAGGTCAATAGGCACCCACTATTTGGAGGGCTGTCCAAGTCTTGTAGAAAGATCAAGCAGCCGAAGGAGAAGAGTGTCAGCAGGGGACTTGAAGAGGCCCACCAGAAGTACCAGAGCATCAGGCATGAGTCTTCTGGTCACAATCTTCCCTATTAAGGTGGGATGTGTTGGATTTAAATTACAGTAATGCTAAGCATGCATCTGTACATAGAAATTAGTACATGTGAAATTGTGTCCTCTTTTGGGGGGCTGTGTAAGTGCCTGTGTTAGGAGTGATCCCATTCTTACAACTGCCAACATTTTATTCTTACAAGTGAGGTATGTGAGGCTGAGAGATCATTCAATTTGTTTCATGATCAAGCCCAGAATTCCTTCTTTTTTATTTCTGAATTTGCATGCCATCCACTTATCCAGATGGATTCTCTCCCTTAGCCTCCACTGCACCTAATTTTAGTGATTCAGTGATTCATGCATCTTTTTATGTAGAAAATATCAGGTCACTCTTTAGTCACCATAAGATGTCGATGCTCTTTTCCCCCAAATGAAACTTCCCCTGGAAAAAGGGTGCACAATGCTTCCCACAACTGAGGCAGAACATTGAGGAATCCCTCACAGGGCTGCAGCATGTGACCTTCTAGAGAAGTGGGGATAAATTCCAAGACTAGCTCCTCAAAAGCTGGAGCTCCCTTCAGGCAAGAAAGGCGGCCATGGCGCCTCGATAATGTTGTAATTACAAGCACAGCAGGAGTGAAGGCAAACAGGCACCCTTATTGCAAGGGGGAAAGGGAATCCTTCTGGGAGCTATTTCAACAGTACTCCTAAAATGCACTCCACCCAATTCAGAGTAATTGAGGCAGGATAAGGGTGCCAATGTGATGTCTATTTAGCAGAGAAAAGGCTGCTGTGCTGATACTCCTTGTCCTGCTAACACAGTTGGCTAAGTCTGCAATCCTATACACTTACCTGGGACTAAAGCCCATTAAACTCCGTGGGATAAACTTCCAAGAGCCATGGACAGCATTACATTGTAGACAGCTCATATACAGTGCATGGATCCTGATTCATGACAGATATTTCTTAACTTACTGGGGGAAGAACTATATATGCCAAAAACTGGTTTTTTATTTATCCTTTATTTTACCATTTATAAATAGCTTTTCCAAGAAATGCTCCAATTAAGCAATGTACAACAATCAAAATATTTTTAAAAAGTTAAAAAACCAATTAAGAGCAAAAAAATTCACAGCAATTAAAAACATTGCGACCAATATATTAGCAAATAATCACAGCACTAATTGTATGCAAAAGCCTGGTGGGTTGAAGAGAGCCTCCACGCTGAAAGATAAGTAACATGTAGACCAGCCCTTACTTGTCTCCTACAAGGATAGGTCATCATTCTAAAGTGTAAAAAATGATATTTTGAACACTTTTAACTAGGTGTTAAAAGACGGTGTGTGGTGACAATGGATTTAATTCTGGACATGATGGTGCTAATATCACATGCCCCCTTTTCTCAGAGAGATGTAGGTTACTGGAGTAATGTGGCTTGGCATCAGACTTGTGGACCCAGAGCCTCCAGCTAGAGCTTTAGAGTGTGATCCTATGCACGTTTAGTCAAAAAAAATCCAACAATTCCCAGGATTCCCCAGCAAGGGCTACTGGCTGAGGAATGCTGGGGACTGTAGAAATGTTTTCCATCTGAACATACAAGAGCTTGTGCCTTTCATCTCTAGCTGTACTAGATATCTCAGGGAATTAAGCAGCAAAAGAGCTTTGGTTAAGAGCTTCTACAGCCACTGGTGGGCAGTACTGAGCTAATTGATAGAGTTGATCCATCTTGGTAAAAAGAGAAACTAGTTCTTCATATTCTGCTTTGAATTCCTAAGGATGGTTGGGTGTGATGCTCTAACTTGTGGTCCTGCCCTGAGCAGGGAGTTGCACTCAGAGGCCTTATAGAGGCCTGTTGTATGATTCTATGGTACAATAATCATCTATTTTTCAGGAATGGAGTTGCAATTTTCACAATGTGGTTTAAGGGTACTCCCCAAAGCAGTTCAGTATCCTTTGCTCACAGTGCCACTTATTGGTAGATTTAAGCACATTAGTAACACACAAGAGTAAATGCATTTCACAGTCATCTTCTAAGGCCAAAGGACGTGTGTCATGCTGTCTGTTTAGTGCAATACAGTTGCAAGCCCTGTTCCAGCATCAGGAGCACAAGATCTTCTCTCCATACAATGGAGGGAGGCATGCCTCATGCCTGAGGACAGGGAGCCATGGTGGAAACAGCCAGATGTGTGTTTGCACATTCTTTCATACATAGCAGTGTGGCTGGGTGAACCCTACAGTGCCGGCTGTGCTCAGCAGAGCAGCGCACAGCCAGCAAATTATTCAAACATGCACACTAATTTTAAACAACAGCAGGGCAGTAGGAGGTGGGGTGAGATTATTCTTCATGCTTGAAAACAAATATACCGAGTGCTCCAGTGGTGGGATTATACAGCAGGAAGCATAACTTAAACAAAGGGCCACAACATGGCATGGTGTATGTCACTTTTCACCAACTGCATTACAGGAAATACCCAGTGTATTTTTATCACACTTGTACCACCACTTTTTCAGTGTCAACTGCAGTGATTTTCATTACCTACAGACAAGAATCATGTTTTTCCACGTCTAAACTGTGCTACTACAAAATGTCACCAGCCGCATGGTTAAGTTCACCATGTAGCACACAAAAGAAAGGTCACTGTCCTGGGCATCCATGGAGATACTAATTTAGATTCATGATAGCACCCTGGCTTGATTGGACATCATGGGTAGTTTAACCCAAGAATTGGCAGCCCTGTGCTTGAGTGAATGACTCCTCCTCCCAGCCACACAGAGTTTCCACTCTGCATCCCCTTTCAGCAATAGCACAGGAAGGCCCTGTGCCTGGGTGCTTGGTGCAATATATCAATACAGACCCCCAGGCTGCTGCAGGGCAATCAACCCAGAGGTGTAACCCAACCAAGTGAAATCAGAGGGAAAGTGCTGTTCCCACCTTCTGCGCTGGCCAGCACAAACAGGCAGGGATGATCCGTCAATTTGCTCCTCTCCTCACTTCCTGAACAGGATTGCTCTGCTAGATATCAAGTTGACAGCTTTGTTCGGTGATGGTCCTTGTTTAAAAAATTTTGGAACAAGAATAATCATGTTAAGTGCAACCCTATTTTTCCCTTTAAGTTATGAATGATTAAGTTCCTTGTCTTCTTTGTTCCTTTCCTGTTTATCCTTTGTTCCTTTTTTGGTGTTGTTCAGAGGCTGTCTTGGATTATGCTTTTTGTTGTTCTTACCGTCTGACATGCTATCTTTGCACAACTTTTTAAATGTCGTAACAGCAATAATTATTTTTAAAACGATCTCTATTTAGCATAAAGATGCTTTGGGAAGAAGGGCTTCAGCTGACATTTTCCCCTACCATGCCGCTTACCCATATGCTGAAAGTTTCTGTATGGGATAGCACAGAAACTTAATTCCTTCCAACCCACAGTCTGAAGGGGTGCAGACCAGCAAGCACTACAGCACATGATCCGGCTGATTCTGCAAGAAAACCTTTACCCCATAGAATGCCCAGGAGCTGATCCCTAAACAGAGATCCACGAGATCCCCTTTCTTAACACTTGCCTGTCTGGATGAAGGAAATAAAGTTACTAGGGCCACACTGTGTCTGGCAGAGAACTGTCTAGCAGGTAAAGTCCTCTTGCCCATGGGAGCAATTTCATCTGGGAAAGGAAACCATTATCCCACTGCAAGGAGTATCTGATGGTGCTGCTGTCCACACTGCCATACCTGGAATGCATAGAAATTGAGAAGACTGCAGGACAGCAAGCTGCTTTCCAGCAGTACTGAGTACAGGAATCAAAGGCTGGGCAGGAACAGCCTAACTGTGCATGTCTGGATTTTGGTGTGGAAGCACCACTATCTCTGCACTGCTGGAGTGGTCTCTGTACCTAGACTGTTGGAGCAGAAAGCAAATTCAGTGCCCAGTAGAGCAGAATTCTGCTGCCCATGCAGATTAGGCCCTCTTCATACATCCAGCCTTTCCTTATTTATTTCTGCAGGCCATGGGGAGGGACAGAGTGCCAAAGCCCAGTTGGCTGCCAATCAAAATCTTGCTCAGAGTTACTGCTTACACAGTTTTGAGCACATCCATGCAAGTGAAAGCTCTAGAAAATTGCTTTTCTTTTTCAAAAAGAGTTTTTAATGAAAGCTGAATTTCTGGGTGTGCCAAACTGTGCATCTACCATCAGTTCTCTCTCCTCCAAAGTAAGGTGATCGTGAATGTCCCACTACTCAGAGAGTGATGGAATATCATGCAGATTATAGTCTTTTGTTTTCTTTACTGTTTGTTTACTTACAATGAAGGATAAATAACTGATGATCCAGAAACTTGGAGTTTTTATTTTATGATCTGGACTTCCCTGCTTATGCAGTCCTCTTTCTGCTTTTTAACATGACCTGAAAACCAAAGTTAACTCTTTACATGAAAACAAAGAAAAGAGGAGCTTCGAAACCCTACTTCAAAGCTCCACCATTTGTAACCTTACAATGTGTTCCAGAAATGTGGAGCTGACAGCAGACTGTGTATGATCTTTTAGTTTGAAGGATGCCCTTTTCACATGTTCAGAAGCACTCTGTTCTTTATTATTGCTTCACAGATTCCAGAACTGAGCCACAGCACTGAAAAGAAGCACCAGGGCTGAACTCTACTGAGTCCTGGCTGGAAATTGAGGCTTTCCCAATAAGCCTAGCTCAGCCCCCTCAATTTAATTCATCCCTTGCCCCAAAGTAGTAAGAATACATCAGGATGGGCAAAGGTCCAGGCATCTTTTTGTCTGCTTGCTTTTTTGGGAAGTTCCCCAAAAGCTGCATAAAAGTCCCTCTGTGATCCATCCCTATTTGCCTGTTCTCAGCAGAAACCCTTGAAGAAGAAACAGTTCTCCAGAGGTTTGTGCCAAAGCAAAAGCAGGTCTACTTGGGGAAACTCTCACGAGACCCATCAGAGTACTCAAAGCTTGTAGGTCTGTTTCTATCACTGGTGGCCACTCAAATGGAATGCAGTTTCCAAAGTCTGTGAAGATGAACCATGTTTGCAAATAGCTATCCAATTATACACCAGAGCAGTGTGGATTGCTTGGATTAATGTAGTTACACAAGGAGGGACAGCGGTTACTGCCATTATTGTTCCCCCTCAGGAAAAAAAATAAAGGTATTACGGTAGCATTCCCATTTGTGCTCCATCTGCTTAAACAGCACCATTCGTTTCCTTGGCCATTCATCAAGGAAAGCTTTATTGTCCACTTATCACGGGTTCTGTCACTCCTGCACCCCCTCTGTGGGTTGATGGCAATCCAGTTCTCCCTTCAGCTCCACACTTCCGGGCAATTTCACTCCGGTTTTCCGGTCCACACACCAACATTTCCCTCGCTGCCCATCCAGTGCTGGGTGACACTGCAGAAAGAAAAGGAAACATTCTTTACTGGGACAGCAAATCATCTTTCTGTTTCCATCTGACCAAAATATGAGTTCAGGTAAAGATGATCTCAAGCAAATTCTGCTAGCTTACAACGTATAAAATTGGTGCTTTCCTGATATATTTCTTATGGATGCTTTAGATGTTTAGACTTTTCAGGGTTAAGGATAGGGCAAAGAAATACTTAGGATGGTATAAAAACACTTTTAATAAACAAGAAAACAAACTTTGGGCTGCAAGATGCCTTGGTTTGCTTGTTGAATATCCTACATAACACGGTTCTGAGGACAAAACTTTGGGTTTCGAAAATCCAGCACTGATTTTTCATTAACTACTTTTCTGTAATTAGCAATTTGGTTCCAGTGCTTGAAATGTAAGGGGCACGGGAGGATCCGTGTTCGACGTTTTTGCCAGCATTGCGATGTCTGACACACTAGTGCTCCCCGTGACGCTCACTGCTACTCATTCTTCCCACACTATTTCTGCCACTGTATTTCAAGATATCATTTCAGCATGTGCAAAATCTGCAGTCTTGTTCTGTGGGGCAGAGTAGTGGCTTCAGGGGGCTGGGTCAGAGTGACGCCGCAAGAGGCACCTGCACAACACTGTCCTCAGCTTGGCGCCAAGCCATGCTTTCCTCATTAGCACTTCCATTCCTTTGCAGAGGCCAGAAAATTCCACATTTTCGATTCAGTGGCAGAAACGGGGAGTTCCTACTGAATTTCCCCAAAAAGAAGGCCAGGCCTTATATTAATTTTTGCTCCAAAAGATGCATTAGGGCTTATTTTCAGGTGATGTCTAATTTTTCATGTACAGCAGTCTACATTTATTTATCCATGTACAAAAATCTACATTTATTCAAATACAGTCAAGTCATCATCTTCTGGAACATCGTCATAACTCTCCAAACCCCGAATTGTGTTGCAATGGACGTCCTAATTGCATCCATCTGGCTAATGAACTTAACTGGAGCTTATTTTTGGGGTAGGGCTTATATTACAAGCATCCTGAAAAATCATGGTAGGGCTTATTTTCCAGTTAGGTTTTATTTTCGGGGAAGCAGGGTATGTGCATATCCCAGGTGTATATTGCACAACTACCTCTTTACATCCTACATGGATAGCCAACTATCCCATAACATTTAAGCCAGAGAGTAGCTCTGTTGGGACCTGTACAAATTGCCTGAGGCATTTTGTGTCTCCACCAGAAGGGCAGTCAATTGTGGAGAATCTGGGTGGACTGAGAGTAAAAGCTACATTTTCTCTTTAAACAAGGCATAGAGAGAAGCATCTACCTTGATTTAATATAAAACCAAGCTCCTGAAAACCTCAGAAGAGTGCAATTTGGCATTAAAATAAGGCATGTGTTCCCCACACACTTCATTTTAAGGCAAAAATGTAGCTTTATTCATTCCCATTGCTGAAATTTGGCAGCAATTCAGTAGCATCCATGTGGGGCCAATGAGAACTGCAAAAGAAGATATCCATCCCACAGACCAAGCACAATCCACCCCTATCCATGTCTTCTCTCCCCCTAGGAATCAAGTCTACTCTTTTTTAACCCTTTCCAAATGATACTGCCTTTCCCATCTGTTTCTTTTCTAAACTGCAGTTGCTCCAATCAGGATTGGAACCACAGAGAGTGGGGAGAAGAGAGGGAAGGTGAAACACATTCCCTTCACTTTGCATAGAAACCAGTGTGGTATTCTGCTACCAGCTGGACTGAAGTGGAAAAACTAAGCCAAGCCGGATGTCTTTGTCTATAACCGAAAGAGTCTATAGCATTGTTGGGATGGTTGTAGGGAGGACTTGCAGAATCTTGGTGTGGTCCAGCACAGCATTCCTTGTGTTTTTAAGGAAGAATAACATACAGATTAGTTATGTCTTAGCTAATAACACACAACTTAACAGCTATGAGTAGGCACTAAGCACTCCTGATTTGTACGTAAAAGCTTGCCAGGGAATCAAGAGCTTGCAGTTTATTCCCACTACTGATGATGTCATACTGCACCCACAAAGAGCCAAAGCTTCAGTGTTACCTGTTTGGGGTGGAAATTCCCATTGCGGTCACAGTTGGGGATGGGTATTACGTATAAGTCCTCATGAGTCCGGGTTTGAGAAGCTGCTAACCTCTCCAGCGCTCTCTGAAGTTCACTCTGACATGAGCCTTGGACCTGTTAGCAAAGCAAAGGAAATGGCAAAGTTAGAAGTAGTGACAAGAAGCAGAAAAGGAATGAAGGTACCAAATGAAAGCATCATCGGGGTTCAACTAACTACCTGCTGCCTCCCAGGCAGATGGGGCTGCCAAGGCTTCGCAGCACTGGCTAGAAGGGGGCACAGTTAACCTCATCCCAGTTCCTTCTGACACAGGGCAGAAGTAACATCTGGGCAACCAAAATCCCTGCTCTCCCATACCTTAAAGAGATGTTGGGATGCAAATTAAACAACGGCTTGTCAAATAGCTTTGCTGTCTTCCTTGGCATGGCAACACAAAGGATTTCTTCCCCAGCCTGGCAGGCCATGGAATGACATGCCTGATGGACCTGGTAGGTCTTGTTGTGTTGGCCTATCTAAACCAAAGCATCTGTTGCAGCATGCTGGAAAGCTAAGGCCCAACAAGGCTGTTTTTCCTCAACAACTCTGTCTCCTGCCTACACTTCAGGCTGGAAAGCACCTGGTTTCTCAAATCTCTCCTACAGTGGATGATGGTGGTGAAAGCCTTTAACTACACTGAGCTTCAACAATACAGCAACCTCCTCTTTGTGGTACAGATATACAGAGTGGAACCATTTTCTGTCCGCAGTGTTTTGTTCCCCTTTGCAAGCACCACCCAGTTCATCAACTACTTGTACAGTATGTTTCTACAGAGCCATTACCATGTATTTAAATGCCTGCGGATGTCCTGGAAGGCTTAAAGATCAAATAACTTCACTGGAAGTACACTAGAGTGGAAGGATTGGCAGGAAAGTATCCTTAAACAGGCTGGGAGATACTGCCTCAGTCATCAGCTGAAAGAAATCTTACTTCACGCAATGTTGCTGTGAGGAAGAGTATTTTAAGGAGCAACCACACTGAGCATCAGGTGTGACTTATGTTCTCCCTCCCCTAATGAGAAGCCAGGACACCTCACCACAGGCCGGGTCTCCTCCCGGGCAAGCGGGTTCCCACTGTTCCTCATCTTGACACCGCTGTTTATCCGCTCACGAGCTCTTGCTTGCTGCTTCTGGAGGCATTTTCTGTCATGGCTGAGGCAGGGGCTGAAGCTGTTGGTCGGGGGGAGGTCAACCTCTTCCTGCTCTGAAGAGGAACAAAGCCACAAGGGTGTGAAAAACATCAAAAAGGGGGGTTGGTTTTACAGCGGCAGCATGGCAAACAACAGTTTCAGCACACTTAAGGACATGCACATCCCAAGAGCTCACTGCCAGGGTCCCCCGCATTCTCAGGACCAAGAGCTTTGTTCCTTGGTCACACAGACTGCACTGTTCATGGCGTTCTCCCTTTCCAATGAGTGGATCATCTCGTCCTCTGTGTTCAGACCAAGGGCTTGTGCACAGAAGCAGGGAACTTGCTGTTGCTTCGCTTGGACCCGTCTGGAGGTGAACATAGCAGAGGTGGCACTACAGAGCACAAAATGGGACAAACAGGATAGAATGCTCCTTGTGCTTCTGTGTAATTTACAGACTTCAGGACTGAATTGCAGCTTCGTGTTTTGCAAAGCAAGTTAAGGCTGCTCCCTTTTTAGCATCTTTTAACAGGCCTTGCTCCCATGGCTGGAAGGCCCAAATGCCATTAACTGCACCTCCTCCCATGACATCAAGTTTCCTCTACATCTTCTACAGCATCTCCTGATGCCCATCTTGTGACCTTTCCCCATCTGCAGCAGCAGGTAGTACGGTGGGCCAGGAAAACAAGGAGGGGAGTCCTCTGCCGTTACGGCATGGAGAAGAAGACCTAAGCACTGGGGAGAAGGCAGAAGCTAGATATGACTGCTCATCTTCACAATGAACATATAAGGAAGATGGCCTTCTTAGCGGCAGGGCCTCAACTCTGGAATGATCTTCCCTCTGAGGCCGCCTGGCTCCAACCTTGTCATCCCTTCAGTGCCAGGTCAAGAAAGTCCTCTATGCTGAGAAATTCAAAGATATATCAAGATATTTAAGGGCTTGAGGTGGACTATCCAACTCAGGTGTTTTACAGGTGTACCCTGGATTAAATGTGATTTTATAGCTGTTTTAACATTTTTGCATTGTGGAAAATTTTTTGATGCTATATTACATTGTCCCTTTTAGGAACAGTTAGATGTGACTCAGAAAGCTTCAGTTATTGGATGGTATAAGACAGACAGACACAGAGAGAAGTATCATATAGACTGATATACAGACATAGCTGCCACACATTTCCTTTCAAGGGGGGTTGCAAGATAATTTCTTGATGGATTCTGCCTCAGGAGTCAGATCACTGCAGCTTCTGCTCCACTGAACTGCAACCCAGGTATTTGCGCTATCATTTTAAAAGGAACCACAGGTAAACGCAGGGGCAGGGGCAGGGGCGAATGTGGCAGCTGCTCCCTCCATCTACTCCTCGATCCGTGTCATCCTCTGCATTTGTTTACTCCCCTTGCAGGGATGTAGATGTGCTGCGCAGAAGATAGCAAACCAAAGGAACAGGGCTTGAGGGCAAACTAGGATGTGATCCTGTACATGTTACAGGCTCTACAACTCTCAGCATTCCTCAGCCAGCCAGTGAAAACTGAAGAACCTTTTCTGTTTAAATCTCATTTATTTAACACATTTTTAACCCTGCCTGGTACCCAAAATGGATCTCTAGGCAACTGACAAAAAACCAAAAGCACAGGCTAAAACAGTTTCCAAAATATGAAAATATACAGTAAAACCATTCTATCCTATACAATAAAAATCATTCAGCCATTAAAATACTGGGTAAATAAAAAGGCTTTGGTCTGGTACCAGAAACGAATAAGGGGTCAGTGCCAGGCACACCTCTCTGGGAAGCAGGTTCCATAGCTGAGGTGCTACCTCGGAAAAGGCCCTTCCCCTAGTAGCCACTCTTCTAGAGGGCTCCAGAAAAAGGCCTCGGTGAAAGATCGCAGACAAGACATTGCAGAGTATCCTTAGCTGATATAAGGGAACGGACCACATTTTCAGACAGTAAGCTGTCAATATTGGTAATGGTGCAGTTTACCATAACTGGGGGAATCACCTTGGAGTAACAACGTAGTCTCTGTTGCACTGTAAATCAACATTCCCACACCCCGAGGGTAGATTTTCAGGACATTTCACGAACACTATTACAAAGCAACACAACTGCTTGCTCTCATTAATTGCAAAACTTCCAGCTCTTATATCTTATCTGCATTGCTTCTGCCAGCCCTCTGGTCACCTCTCAAGAAGACCTCTTAAGGAGATGGTGGGAGCCATTTGTAATTTTCCGTAAGAGGGACGGCTTGTTTGCAAGCCCTCCTGGACTGCACAGCCTGTGGCAGGGCCAGCTCTACCATTACGCTAAGTGTGCCAGGCAGCAGGTGCGAAGTGGCGGCAGCAAAGGAGGGCAGGAAGGGCCTCTGTGCCTTGCGGCTTGTCCTGCACCCCTTAGGAGAGGAGAGGCTGCTGCCTTGCAGGGCCATGCCGGTCCAATCAACTTTTGTACACAGGACGGGGGAAACGCCTTCTTGTCCTTTGCCTCAGGCAGCAGAATGTCTTGGCCTGTGAGCTGGAAGCCTCTCTCAGAAAGCAATGCGGCACATGTGGGTGGGTTGCCTTCTTCAGCCATGACAATACCCTTTATTATTACTGCATGTTTCTACAACTGATAATAGCTTCCAGAGGTCATCCCTGCTGAGGTTTTTGTTAAAAAATAAGCCCTGAGTTACTAGCAAGAAATCAGCGTTCTGTCTATGCCCAGAGACTATATGCCCCAGCCTTGGCAATCAAATTAAGAGATGAGCCTGCATCCTGGTACAAATTACGCCTTGGAGATGATGTGTGGCTAGCAAACGGGGCCACAAAATGGCTGGGGGTTTTGCCAGCCATACTCTAAGCACGCCCTTTTGTGGTTTGCTTCAGCCTCCCTCTCCCCATCCCTTCTCTCCTCCAAAGCTTGCCCAGTTGGCTGCCTTCAAGTCTCCAAATGGCTATTTTCTGTTTAACTCCCCTTTCCAAATGGGTTGCATCCAAGTTTCCATTAATTTATGTGCAACTTTGGATCAATCTCATTAGCTGACAAACAGTACAGATGCAGAGGCTTTTCTCTGTAGGTAGAACCTTCCCTATCTTACAAGAGAAGAGAAGAGAAGAGAAGAGAAGAGAAGAGAAGAGAAGAGAAGAGAGAAGAGAAAGAGAAGAGAGAAGAGTTACAGTGGCAAACATCACAAAATAATACAGATATCCAAAAAAGTACTCCCATTTCCTTTTATTATCCTTACAGTGTTTTGAGTATGACAGCACTTAATCAAATCCAGTAGTCTCCTAAATTTGCAGCCCCTTTGTCTTTTGGAAGAGAATTCAGATTGTCTATTTATCCAGAATTATGGTTAATATCAACTATGTTAAGTTTCAACAAGACAACTTCAAAAACTACAGTCTGAAGTTGACTTGTTTGTAAGTAACCATAGTTAATGTTAACCTCAGAGGCATTGTTAAGAGGCATCCTACTAGGGTGGGAGCCCAAATCTCTCAGCAGCCCCACAAACATACAGGGGCCCTGGCGATCTCTGATGCACCTGAGACACCTGGATTACGTGGCTTTATGCTCACCTCCTGCTGTCACCCCACTTGACTCTTTCTGCCCAGGCGTCTTCTGCAAAAAGAGATGGCCTCTTCCACGTGTCTTACATCCCTTTTTACAACAGGCGCATCCTTATGAGAGAGGGTCCTTTAAAGTCATGGGCACACGCTTTAGAGTGTAGTACATATTACTACTACTACGTTGCATTTCTTTACTGCCCATAGGTGAAGCTCTCAGGGCAGATCACAACATTTAAGTCACCCATCCAGATTTTGGCCAGGCTTGAGCTTGCTTAGCACATGCAAGCTTGTACTGCTTTTTTCCTGTGGGCCTGAGTTCCTTATCTTTTCAGTGCCTAGCTCTGTCAGGCTTGCATCTCCTGCTCTAGCCACAGCTTCCTGGCTGCAATTCCCCCGGGCCAAGATTCAAGAATGCCAGAGAGCTCTTGCTGGGTTTAGGCAACCGCTGGGCAAAGGAAGTGTGCTAGTGGCACGCAGGGATGCGTGTGCGGATTTGAAGTTTCCTGCACACTCGGAAGCACATCAAATTCCCTGTTCCCCAACCCCCTGCATTTCAGCCAGCATTACTGTCAGCCCACTAAGCAAAACAAGTTGGCAGTTGCTATGGTGCTCGCCTCACTACAAAATTGTCTATGCAGGGATGTTTTTAGAAGAGGTAACAGCACTGCCTCTGGATCGTCAGCAAACAGTGATGCCAATACTTGGTAGATCAATACCGCTGAAGAACAGGTGTTTGTGGAGCAGCATGTACCCTGAGGATACTGTAACAAGCAGTCTCCAGAATTCAGCATCCTGAAACTCATTTTTCCCTGAAAAATGAGCTGATGGTGCTTATGATCACAGGAGAAGTGGTATCCACAGAAAGGAAAATTGGAAGAGGAAATGGTGATCAAGTTAAGGATACTGGACAAATCTACAGTGGATTCAAATGTGCTTAGATTTCTATGAGGCTGACATAAAGATCTTGCAATGGACCCACCTTTTCCCAAGTCATGCAAGTTGTTCTGTTTTTAACTGGGGAGAAGATCCGCACAACATAATCTGCTTACAAATGTCCATAAATGCTAATGAACCCAGTGCATTTGCAAATGTATAACTGTCAAGTACAAATGAAATGCTTGTACAAAAAACCCCAGGTCTGTCTACGAGTACTGATGGAACAAAAGCTGCCTGACATCCACAAAAAACAGACAGAACTGATTTTTTAAAAATCTGTAAAGCCCTGCAAATAAATCATTACTGAATCAGGATGCATAAGCTTGGTCGTGTCAGCTCCTGCATCTGCAATTCTCTTATTTCCTTCCCCCACCTTCCCCTAGTTTTCAACATTTTTTAAAAGCAGTGAAAGCTCTACAGTAGGCATTTTTACCTGACACGCATCCCCAGTCTTTCTCCTGCTATTCCTGCCCTTATATCATGGATTTCTTCAGATCATTTAAATGACAGTGTTCTTCTATGTTGCATTTTTTTCAAGGTGCATATTCCAGCATGTGCTAAACTTGTGGCACTGCTCTGCAGGGTGAATAGTGGCTT